CACCCGGGGACGGTGTGCTCAGGAGGCCTCTTCCCCTGTCCCCCCCGGCCTCTCCCGGCGATCCCGCGGAGAGGAGGGGGCTTGGAAGGAGGGAGCAGCCAGCGCTCCGGCCGGCAGCCGGGTGGGAAGCGGGGAGCCCCCGGCTAATGCGATGAGACGGGCAGGAATCGGTAAGCCATTAAGCCGCCACAAAGCCCCTCGCGTTCTGGCCCCGTTCTCACCGATTTCTGCTCACATCTGCTCCCGGGGTTATTTTTAACCGGGTATTAAGGACTTCAGGGGGTTCTTAAGGAGGCAGAGGTGGCAAAGGGCAGGCGCTGCCTGCCACCCCCGAGCAGGAGCGGCGGTGTGCACCCCTAGAGGTGCCCGATAAGACACAGACACCAGCCCCACGTCACGTGGCGGGGGACAGGACCCCACGGGACCACCCTCTGCTCTGCACCCAGCTCGGCTTTGCAGAGGGTCAGGGTCAGCGCGTCGTTCCCAGGAGCCTGCTGCCGCTGCGGAAAGGTTGCAGTCGAAAAACAGCTTGGAGGAACGACAGTCGTACAGCCCGCTAGGGGCAAGGCTGGGAAGGGACACGGGCCACGCGGGAGCCTCGCACAGAGGGATGCTGGCAGGGATATAAAAAATAGAGTGAGCTTTATTAGTGTCGAGTAAAGTGCGACCCTCAGCTTAGTTTTACACTCAGAAGCCAGGTAAATGGCAAGAAAAAAGTTCAGGCCAGAACTGGAAGGCAAGGGGGGAAAAAAAAAAAATCTACATCATGAAAGGACCCCAAGCAAGGTGATGATAAAAGGATACAAAAACTGTACAAAGGTCTTAAAAAAAAAAAAAAAAGAAACCAAGAGATAAATTATTTACAGTTCAAATTGATTACAAGTAACAGGAGGCTGAAGGCTCACGAGCATCTGCAGGCCAAGAGAGCAAGAAAAGAAGGGCTGACACCATATGCATGCCCCGAACTGGCATTTCGGCATCCAACGCAGCGGTGACAAGTTACGGTCTGGATGCAAAGGGCAGCATCTATTAACGGCTTGGCTTGTCCTCCGACATGAAGCTCTGCTCCGAAACGGGAGTTGTGCTGGGGCCAGGGCCGGCCGCAGCGGTGCAGCGTCGCCCTTGCGGCTGCCTGGCTGGGACGTGAATTCATCATGATTTCCAGCTGACCGAAAGAGCAAAGGCTGGAAAGATATTTAGGGATTGAGGAGCTCGGCCCCTTAGCTGGGCCCTTCTGCTAAAATGAGCAGAGACTAAATGGTAACGGATAGTCTCTGGAGATAACACGGAGGTGCCGAGATGCTCAGCACAGGCTGTGTTTCAGCCTGGTGGGTGCTCTCAGGGAGGCGCCGGTGTTGGTCTGCTCAGGAGTTAAGGGCTGGTAACTGGGGCGAGCAGCGCATTCTCAATGGCGGTGACCCTCATCGCAGGTCTGGGGCAAGAAGTGAATCCTGCAGCTGGAAGACCCTCAGCACCAAGCAGTTTTCCACAGCACTCTCTCAGTAACTCCAGATGAAATCTGCTCTGGTTACAGATATGGACAATTTTTCCTGCCAGTGCCTCCAACTCCTCGGAGAGATCCAAGCTGAACTATGTTCTTCCAACTCATGACCCACAAGCAACACAGATTCTAGATCCGAAATGTAGTTGCAGCTCTACTGCAAGCGCATGAGCCAGAGGAGCCCAGCTTCATCTCCCACTGAGGAACTGTTTCTAAAGTGATTATGAAAGGGGACAATAGGAAATATTCATCGCTGGCACCACAGCTGACATGATCAGGACCCACAGGGGCATGTTTCAGACTGACACCCTGACTCACCCTAATTCTGCACTGGAATTGCTCCTTGGACCTGTGTATATGAAATGGGCAGCAGGCCTGAGAACTGACCTGTTAGCGCTAGAGGCAGCAAAGCTACAGCCTGGCTGAATCTTTTCTCATATAAGGAAAGTCCTTCCCAGGCTCAGATCTTCTGAAGGAAGCCCTGAACCATTCTAGGTTTTTTTGCAATGACACTGTGCAACTCCCTGTTTCCTTGTACCTCTGTCTTTGCTGTCATCCTCATTGGCACACAAGGCTAAAAGGAATTTAACAAGAAAAAAAAAGACAGCCTAGCCTCAAGCTGCCCTGAGAACAGGTCACCCACCAACCTCTCCAAGAGCAAACTGATCTGGAAAAAAAGCTGCTGATGGAAAAGTGTGTAGAAGGGAAAAGGGTGGGCAAAGGGATGGGGAAGAGCTTTGCCAATTTTCTGGATCCAATTAGCCAAAAATAATTGCAAGGCTCAGCCTGAGCCCAGCACTGGGCCAGGACCACTTTCCTTGCTGAGATACTTTGCATCAACACACATCAGAGCCCCATTATGCTAGAAAACAAGCTGCAGAGCTCTACATCAGCTCAGACCTCCTGGATTTCCCCTTTGGTTCATGCTCTGGGTTCACTGCATGGTTCTGGCAGGCCAGCGGCCTTGGGGAATTGTACCCACTGCGCTCTCAGCTGGAGACAGGCTGGAGCCACATGACTTCGATCCATTCTCCCATCTACTCTGTGGGAACATGGATCAAGTTTGTAGCTCAGGCCTGTTTCAGATCACCTTCCCAGCTTGGTGCAGGTTGTGTTTGAGGAACCTCAGCACGGATTCTTTCACTGACCTTTGCACAACTCTGGGTGTAGGCCAGCAGCGTGGGACTGAGGGGGCTGCTCCCCCATGTGCCTTAGCTTGTTAGCAAGGCCACTGAGACCGCTGGTGGTGAATGGTGCTGTTCCGAAGAGCACAGCCCCTCACAGAGGGGGAAGAGGCTGCATTGTCCTGGGACACAGCCACGAAAGCACTGCAGAGCCCTCTTGACACCTTGGCCTGTGGAGCTGGCAAAGAGAGGGCTACTGCCTCTCGGCCTTGACATGGTCTCCAATCATCCTCCTGTGGTACGTGGCCAAGAAGATGTCGTTGTCTCGGGGGCAGTCGTAATGGCAGGAACACATCTTGATGAACATCATCTTCCGCTGGAAGAAGTCCCCCTCGGGGCAGCGGAACTCCACCTCCACGGTGCTGGTGACGTATGGGGTGCAGCAGCGGCCGTCTGTGCAGCTCCCGCAGAACTTGGGCCGGTAGGAACGGCTGCTGGTGCAGCCCGAGAACTCAAAGTGGAGGCTCTGGCGTGGCTTTGGGGTCCGCACACACTTCTTCCCCTTCTAGGGAGAGGGCAGGGTGAACAAGAATGCAAGAATCAGACAAAAGGTCCATCTAGCCCTGTGCCCTGTCTCCATCCCTGGGCCTTGGGGCACACAGGAAAAGGGGAAGAGCAGGGCAAACCTTGTGGGACAAGCTCATGCCTTACAGGTATCTAACTAAGCCTTCCCTGGCATTCGCTGTGTTGTGTTCCCTCCTCTCTCCCCAAACCAGTACCTTGGTTTTCTCCATAGGGAAATCGCAGGGCCGGACCATGCAGAGCCGAGTCTCCTTCTCCAGGCGGCACTGGGGGTTGTCGTTGGTTACTCGGGCAGAGATGCCCATCCCACAGCTCTTGGAGCAAGCGCTCCAATCAGTGGTCTGCACTAAGCAGTTCTCCTGCAGGTTATTCAGCTCCGGCTTTTGTGCTGGAGTCTCCCTGAAAACTGAGCCACACAGAGGAGACACAAGGCAAGGGTCAGGGCTTGAGACAGAGCATGGCACAAAACCGGTCCGTGGGGCTGGACCATGGGGCTGCTCCCAACTTGGCCTAACTCTTCACAGACAGCAGCGAAGGACAACAGGAGACATCGATCAAAGATGCAACAGAGAGCCCCAATCCGAAGGCAGTTTGGGCTTATCTCTATCCCCTAGCAAACAACTCCCACCCAACATGCCGATCAGCTGCTCCTGTGCCTCCCCAGCCCTGTCCCGTCTGCCTCTCGCTCACCTGCCATGGCTGTTTCAAAGCGGTTTTCCTCACTGCCCTCCTCACAGATCCACTCCTCGCAGCACTTATTGCGAAACTTCACCCGCCGGGGGTTGGGGCATTCGGGGGATGGCAGCCTCAGGTCATCGGAGCACAGAGGGATGCAGCCAATGGCCCCGTCCATGCAGATGCACTGCAGCTTGCACGTGGGCTGGAAGCTCTCCCCGTTGTGGTAGATCTTGCCCAGCAGGTCACAAGTTGCCCCCTCGTGAGCTGCAGGAAAGGGGCAGAGGAGGAGAAGTTGAGAAAATAGCATGGGGCCAACAGCACGGCCTCTGCCTCCTGGGGCTACTTAGCCTCCTGATGTCCCCACAAGGGGCAAACACCCATATGCAGCCTCTCCTCGACTCTGTGATCCCAGTGGTGGATGCAGCAAAAGTTAGCGCATTTAGTATTAGGCTCCCTGGACCCCAGGGTATTCCTGACATTGATTTTTGGAAGTTGGCTTCAGCCATGCCAGAACTCCCAGAGTGCACTAGCGAAATCTCTTCTCCACTTGGATGAACTGCGAAGTTGGACTTTCTCTTTACAGCCTTTCAGCTTATAACCAGCCTGTTCCTGAGTCAGAGTTCTCCCTGCCAGACTCAATAAGCGCCCCTGGTCAGTGAGGTTGTGCAAGACGCATTCCTGACACAACGCATGAACCTGCGGCTTTGTTCCTAGTTATTCCTACTAGACCAAAAGGCAACATTCTTCTGCGAGCAGTTGGTTTCCCACATGTTTAAAGGTGACCTACAAAAGGAAAAACAACACATTGGGTTTATGACCTTTCTGGCTTCTCTGCGATACACAAATCTCTTCTTCCTTCCAGTCACAACTTTTTCTATTCCTGTCTGCTCAAGCACTCTGATCTCCAGATCTCTCATCTGCAGCCCTCCTCTGAGTCTTTCAGTCCTTCCCTATAAAACTTAAATGAGCAAAATGGAAACACAGTACCTTACACATAGGACCAATCCTTAGTCTGCAGGTGTGAACAATGCTCAAAAGTTTGTAATTCTGCATTGGCCAAAAGTTTTCTAGTGGAACACTTTGCCAGCAGAAAACTCTTACTTGGTTAAGAGTCTCCCAGGCCCATATCAATTTCATCAACTTTTTCAATGGGAAACAACTGAACCATTTTAATTTGATATCAAAAGTTTCCTTTACACGCTTAACAATAGCTCACACCAAAACCAAAAATATTGCTGGACAGAACCCATAGCGGGAAACATTTTTATACACTATAATCATCAAAATGAAACATTTTGATATACTCAAAGTGCAAAGTTCTGACCAATCCAAACAAGTATTCCAGGTAATTCATGGAAAAATTTGAGGTTATTTTTCCCCTCTCTTCAGCCTGAAATGAAATGTCAAAATCTCAGAGCTGTTCACAGGACAGCTTCTGGACAGCTCTAGTCGGCTGCCTCTTTCTGCATTTCTGACCCTTAAAAAAAAAAAAAAATCGAAGAAAACTTCCATTGGGAAGTTACCAAAATGAGGGATTCTTGGCTGCTTGTGAAGGCTTACCAGGAAACCTGATCTATTTTCTCCTAGCCCTTCTTGCCCATGGCCTGGAACATTGTCTCAGGCAGAAAGCGTTTGGACCAAACAACAAGCGAGAGCTTAATTTCTTTCCACCTAGTCCTTGAGGGGACACAAATCCTTCCGGTCTGCTAATGCCTTGTTTCTAACCAGAGTTGGATCTCAACTTGCAACTCTTTTCAGTGCCATTGGTATAAAAATACTCCTGCTGTTCTTACTTGCAAGTTTCCTCACTTTTTCCATCAAAGTGGAAGCTGTCCACTTTCCTTCTACATGGCCATTCATACATATTTTTAAACCTTCTTTCACTGTTTTTTAGCCCAAGTCCTTGAACTGATCATGCCGTTCCCTCAGAAGCACTCCTCCCCACCCAAGGAATGGCAGCCTGCTCTGGGTTTTTATTATGTTTTCAAAATCCAATCATTCAGTCATGCTTTTCATTACCTTAACAATGACTTCGCTTTCCTGTTGACCTGATCCAATTAAAACACCAAAATGGATTGCACTAGCGGAGTGAGAGGGCTCTTTATTTACCATCTCCGTTTGGCACCACGGGCATCTCCTGCCTCCCGACACCAGTTCCAGCCAAGGAGACTTTTGCCCTCCTCTGCAAGGAATACGACAGAGCTCAAGCGATCGGCTCCGGCTGCTCAGCTCTGAAAGCTCCCTGCACCCACCCAGACGACCCTACTCCTGTGGACTCTCGCCCTTCAGAGTTACCTGGAGATCTTCCCCATCTTTCTGATACTCTGAGGTCTCCACAGAGGAATTCTTCCCTTGCTGCAGTATATAAAGTGCTATGTATTGTGTTAATGTTAAACATATTTTCACTCTGACGCTTCTCTTCTGATACTGCCTTCAGGCTGGTACCCAGTCTACAAGCTTTCCCCTTGACATGTTAACACCTCTTTGTTCCTTTCTGCTCCCATCATATTTTTCTCGTGTGGATACCAGTAAGCCCTCTTTTCTCCCTTCACAAAAACTGATCTGTCCCTTCGTTCTACCCATCACTACATTCTCAGCATCCTTTACCGCCTCCAAAATCCCCCATTTTTCAAGAAATCAAGGTGAACATTACAAAAATATCACCCAAGGACATTACAACCCAAACCCTCAGTTCAGTATAGGGAGATATTCTGGTCTATACAAGTGGATCAGAAATTTTGCCATGAAAATCTTAATTTCTCTTTTCAAGGCTGAAAGGACAATTGTGATCTTCAGCTCTGATTTTCCACATAACAGAGACCAAAGAATCTCACTCAAAAATCTTTGCATCAAACCCGTACCTCATAGTGAATGACACGCTTTTTAGAAAGGTGTCCGGTCCTCACGTGGACTCTTCAAAAAGCAGATTCCTCTACACTCCTGATTAAAGTGTTCCAATGATTTAGCTGCCTTTACTATGACAAACATCTACCCCAGTTCCAGTCTTAATTAGCTTACAGTTGCTGGATATTATTACACCTGCACACTCCTTACTAAGCTTCAATCATCAGCTCTTAGGTGTATCAATTCCTACAGAAAGTAATGGGAAGCTCGTGCAATGGCCTCTAAAGGTCACAATAACTTGAAGAAGGAAAATTAAACAGATTAACAGATAACTAAGCAACAAAAGTCAAAAAAAATTTTTATTTTCTGACTGAAAAGAAGCCCCAGAATTAATTTAGAGAAAACAGGTTTGCATTTGTAGTTACCTGACTCAATAATTCTCATTTCCTACATACACACTACTTTGCAAATGAATTGTTTACCTGTTTCTACCCACATGCTAAAGCCAGAAATATGGGTATGCCTCTTGCACGTAAGCAGTTGAGTGCAAAATGCCAGTCTCCAGTGCAATGCAATGAGATTTCGGGTGAGATTTTAAAAGCAAGATTTTAAAAGCAGCAGTCCTTTACAATAAAAATCCAAACTGCTGACATTCACCCCCAGGCACTACAGGGTTAGAGGATCTCCCGCAACAGTGTCACAGGGATAAAGGGGAGTCCCAATCTCCCATATGTGCCTTTGGAAACACCCTTCACTACAGAAGAAAATACTTTGTGTGTGCATCAGTATGAGAGCATCTGCTGGCTCACAGGGGTGGCACAGACCTCTCAATGTGCCACTGGATGAATCTCTCTGAGTTTAAACATGGCGAGAAATTCTGCCAACGCTGTGGGTTTTCTGGGAGGTCTACAGGCACAGGACCAAAGGGGCTGCAAGCAAACCGCACAAAAACAAAACGCACAGCTCTCACCTAAGCAGATCCCGCTGCCTCTGTGGATTTTGGAGAAGTCGCAGTAGAGTCCCTTGTGATGATCACAGGGTTTCTGAAGGGAGCAGAGCTCGCCCAGCTGCCTGGCGCACACCTTGCAGCAACCGCAGGCATCCAACACGTGGCTGGTGCCAGCAGGACACTGCAGAGGCTGGGAGGGACACTGGCAGGGATACGTGCAGGCCTGCGCTTCTACCTGGAGGGCACACAAGCCATGGAGAGAATGAGCCTCCCACAAGCCAACCAGGCAGAGACATGAAAAACATGAATCCGTTTCCAGCACAGTCACCCCGTCATCTCCAAGACCATCCCTAGCAGAGCATGAAGATCTACTTCTCCCTCCACCAAAGAGCCCTGTGGCAGAGGCCTGTGCATGCAGCTCCTCAGGACTCACATGACTAATCTTTTTCTCATCCCTAACTCATCTGGAGCTCAAGGAATAAAGATGCCTCCAGGAAACAGGGCCAAAACAAACAGGACAAGCAGTAGCTTGGAGCCCCTTGCACGGCTCAGCCCTCCTCTTCCCTGGAAGCAATACTATAGTAATTATTAATAAGCAATCCCCAACTTTTACATAGCCCTATTCAGGAAAAAAACATCAAAGCACTCTGCAGTAGCATCATAACACCCAGGCTGAAGATGGAAAAAGCAAGACACACAGAGAAGCAACTTGCCCAAAATCAGCCAGCAGGACTTCGACAGAGCTGAAAACCACACCAAAGCCTCTCAAGTCCCATTTCATCTCCTGTACCTCATGCTTTCTTCAGTAATTCCAGAGATGTGCCCTCTTCCCCTCCCTTTTCTGGGGAACGTAACATAACGAACCTTCCTTGGGACCTTGCAAATCGACAGCTGGGGCCCTTGGGACCCAGCAGTCCCAAGCTACAGCTTGGTAGTGTTTCAGTAGTGCTGGTCACCTCCTAAAATCCACCCTTGGCTTTTATGCCCTTCAGATACTAAACAGGGGTAAGACTATGTCTGAAGGAGGGTCACCTTCTCTGGAAAAAGTAGGATGCTTCAAACGCTGCCACTGGTTTAGTAAGTGGCATCCTTGTCCAGAACCAGCTTGGAACGGATATATCAGCCTCAGCTCTGGATGTATCCAGATTTGGGCAAGATGGAAAACCACAACTGTTAAAGGTGCACAGCACACGCTCTCTAAAGATCCTCTTACATCTCCTCTGAGAGAATCAGGGTGCTAATCCTAACCCAGATTCCCATTCAGCTTCTGCTCATTCAAACTCTCCATGTAGTTTCAGAGGGGTGGAAGGGCACTACTCCGATTCCCAGCGCTCCCAGGCTGTGCCCTGCTAGACACAGGCCAGCTCCCCCCCCACCAGGGTGGCTGCTGGTGCAGGGCTGATACGATCTCTGCCTGTAGATTATGGCAGGTGACACCTGCAAAACACTTTGAGATCCTGTATTGCTGCGAGTCCCTGCACAACACACGCATCCATGCTCAGAAGTGCAGTGTGAAAGGGAAAGTGCCCGACAGGGCAAACATGCTGCGGCTCCCCTGCCAGACCTGGCTGCTGCCACCCAGGAAGAAGGATTGCAGAGCTGCAGCTGGAGAAAGCCTGGGGGAGGGTGAGAGGGGAACACCTGGAATAGAGAGATCCAGGAGGCAAAAGAAAAAGAAAAAAAAAGAAAAAAAAAGAAAAAATCTTGCTACAGCTCTGTTTGCACTTGTTATATCCTATCCAGCCCTCGCCTGATGAAACAGTTACCTTGGATATTGTGTTTTATCAGCAAAAACAGTAGTAAAACTCTTCCAGCTCTTTTGACTGTTGCTCGAAACAGCTGTTCTAACTTTAGCTCACGTGGGGTAAGAAGCTCTTTTTGTAACAATCAGCACACTATGGCATAGGACAGGGAGCAGCCTAAATCTTTGCTCACAAGACCTCCCAGAGTTTTACCGTGTTCAGGAGGAATCAGTATAATTCCCCTTGAAAACTCCTAGCTCAAAGTTTTCAGACATAAGCCCCTACTGCCTGTAGCCCAGCTGTCCTCGACTGCAGTCCTAGGACCACTTGCTGGGAGCTGGCATGTCACATGGATCTCTCCCCAGCTGCTACAGTGCATTAAAAGATGCTAAAAATACAGAAATGCTTTTCTGCTGGTTTTCATGTAAGCAACTGCTGCAGCTGCCAAGGGGACATGCTATTCAGCCATGAACGAAGGGGGTGGCGGGTACATGAGTTCCTAAAAGGGGCAAAGCCTTTCTAATGTGGGACCTGTATTAAGATGCAGTCCCCACACTGAAAAAAACAACAACAACGAGCATTTTCCAGCTCAGTGTTAGCCACGTGCCATATAAAGAAACCTTCCCAAAACGTCTCTCCTACTGGAGAAAACAAATGAAAACAACCTCTGACAGGATAACATAGAACGCATGAGAATTAAACTCAGCTGAGTTTTCTCTCTCACCTTTATTTATCACTAGTGGTGCTGTTCATTTCCTTTAAGGACTCACCCAAAGAAACTAGGCCACCTGGTTTCACCTTGTTTATAGTCAGCTTCACTTCCTCATATTACAGCTACTTTCAGCGCATGAACATCTCTGTTGTGGTCTCAGATGCACCACAGACCTGCTGGGTGCCTTTATATCCCTGCCTCTTCTGTGCCTCATTTCCCCCATCCGCAAGCAACAGCGTGGCTTCAAAGGCCCAATTCATCCACGTTTGCAGGGCTCTTTAATGTTTGGAGATCTGAAAAATCTATCAGCTCAGATACGCCTCTTTCCATTGCCCAGTCCACCTGGCCCCAGGACGCGTCGGGACTCCTGTTCGCTTGAGCAAAGTCAGCTCTTGCTACTTATAACTCCTGCTCCTCTCACTGGCCCAAGCGAGCAAAGAATGAGCTGAAACCTCTTTTGGCCTCGTGCACTCTCAGCACTGAATAACCGGCTGGCAAGAGCAACTTCTTGAGCAGAGAGCCGGCGTAGAACCGACTTCAGTCTAGAGTGCTGAAGGAGCACCCTCCGCCCTGCATTATTTTCAAGGACTGCTTCTAGGAGTTGTTCAATGCAGTGAAGAAGCTGCCCAGAACATCCCGAACAACGGCAGGGGCTCACATCCAGGGCTTTGCTACAGACCCCTACGTAACACAAGGGCTGACATTTCCGCATAATATGCCACAGCCCCGGGGGCAGAGGGAATCTACTTAGAAGTGTCTATCCCTAAAATTATGCTCTTCCACTCTCCACAAAGCAGGGTCTGTACATTAGATTCCCTATAGGCTCGATCTTGTTTCTGTCGAGGTTAACCGAATACTTCCACCAGCCTCAAGAGCAGCAGAACAGGACCAGCTCAGCGGATCAAGGCTATAGATTTAAGAAAGGGCTAAAGCCTGGAATATTCCTCTCCCTGCTCCTGGCTTTGCTGGCAGCTCTCATACTGATCACGAGCATCACGCGTGAATCTGCCCAAGCCGCGGCTGGAGCAAACACAGCCTGACTAGAGGACTCCCATCTCTCTGCTCCACACGATCCCCCCCCACTGACTCCCCGGTCCCATCTGTTCAGCTGACAAGTCAAAACAAGCTGTCTCCCGACTGCCTGCACCGCAGGCTGAAACCCAACTACCTGGAGCAGAGGGGGGGGGGGGGTGGGGGGGGGGGAAAGCTGAGCATGTTCTTTCTGCTTCACATTCATATCAGCCTCTCCCCACTACGCCCTCGTGAAGGCACGAGTGGGGGACACGAGCTCGCATCTCTGTGGCTGCAGGGGTCCGGTGGCACAGTCAGGGAGGAGTTCTTATTTCTGATCCCTCACCCAGGTCCATACGAGCCCAGGGAAGCAGCTAACAGGGCCAAACTAAAGAGGACTTTTAAAATGCACTGGGGCCCATGACTGCCTTGAAAAGGGGCTGGGAAAGGAGTGCTGTGAAGCTGAGCTAACTGTTTGCCAAGAGCTTTGGCAGCCAGGGGTTAATGCTGCGAGGTAAAGGTAATAGAATAAATACATAATTGGTCCTCTTTGGCACTCCAGGACTGGCAGTGCATAACGCAGTCAAAACACAGCTATTCACGTACTCCAAACACCAAACTACCACGGCTCATACCTGCTCCCTCCAACACGGGACCTCCAGGCACCGCCCCAACGCTGCTGCCGTACATTGTGCAACAGCCTATTGCGAGAGATATGAACCATTACTCCATTTCGCACATAGAGAACCGAGATGCGGAGATGACCTGACTTGCCCAGGTTGTAAGAGCTGTGCAGAGCTAAAAATAACGCCCAGGAATCCTGCTTCTGCTCTCACCTCTGAACAACGTGGGAGGCTGGTTTGGGAGTAACAGCTCTCGTTCCCTTGCTCTATCCACTAAACACGACTTCCCTCTCAGAGCTGGGAATAGGAGAAGAAAGTCAAAAGTCCCGTTTCAAAGCATTCAGCAGAGTCAGGAGGAAAAAAAAAATGACCTTATTTTGGATAAAGTGTCACAGTGATGAGATTCACTGCTATCATTTATAATGCTAGCATGATGCTGCCAGTGCTGGGTCAGTGCAAGAAACCAGAAAACCATCCCAAATCCCAGGAACTACTCTGACATCACTGCAGCGTTAGACGCGCAGAACACGCTTCCTGGCAGAAAAGGGGCCGGCGCATTTCAGCATGCCGCGAGGAACCAAACAGATCCCACCAGCCAGCAATTTATCGCATGTATCAGCCCAATAAGCCTCACTCAGCGTAGCAGCTCACAGTGCGAATCTCGACTTCTTCACTGATCCAAAAGGCACTTACTGCAATTCAGATCTTATATCAACAGATACATTAATGACTGCAACAATGTTCCTGCTATTATTGGTACTGCAGTAGCAGACAGAAGTCCTGAGCAGAATCAGAGCAGCTCTGTGCAAGTACTTGTACTAGCACACAGGCAGACACAAACCCCAAACAAGAGAGGCTGCAGTTTAATCTCCTCCTCAGGATCACCGTTTCTGAGAACAAATGGGTGGGTGGGTTCAGTGGCAGCTGGCGGAGGATGGTGATGGTGAGGAACTGGGAGATGAGATTTTTATTCTTTACAGTGCCATAAACCTGGTGACTTCACCTCTCTCCGTTTTCTTCTTCCCTCTCGTAAACCAGGGCTGGCTTCTAACTCACCAGAGCAAAGCGAAACAAAATCCATTCACGGGTGCCAAGGGCTTTGAGATCCTCAGATGACAGGCGGGACGCACGGTGCAGCTCTGAGCGTGCTTTGGTTACCCAGTGCCTCTGCACTGCTCTGCTAAAGCCAAACTTCTCTCAAAACCCCTCGGAGGCAGGTGGCAGCTGGGGGAGTTACTCAGCCCAAAGCACTCGCATGCATCAAAGCGAGAAGCTGCAATGCTCAGCCAGCAAACAGAGCTGCTGCAGTGCAATACGTACCCAGCCAGGTGCAAAGAGGAGGAGGAACAGGGTCCAGGTCATGGTCCCCAAGCTGCCGGACATCCCGAGTAAAGGGAAGGGGGGATTCAGGCTGCCGACTGACTCGCTCACTCTCTCTAACTCCCTTTCTCCTTCAGAGTTTCTTGTCTCTCTTTGGAGAAAGTTGCACACCAACTCCTCTTTAAATAGCCTCCTGGAGGGGGCGTGCCCTGCCTTTGAGTGACAATCTGGAAAGCAACCCAAAATGGGATGCAACAGAAAGCATCCACATTCCAGGGAACATGAGCAGATTCCTGTGGCCCTGGTGGTTACGGGGCTGCCGGTGGAGCCCGCAGCTCGCTTACATTCCACGTGGGTAAATCAAATCCCAGTAAAAAGCTCCAGAAGGATTATCATCCTTTTTTAATTCTTCCCTCTTTAACTCCAAAAGTATGAAGCCTGGAACAGCTTCCTTGACTCCTCTTTCCC